ACACTTATTTGGACCCTCTTGCATGATGTCAAATATGTAATTATGGCGTTTACTTGCCATTTTTCACGCATTAGGTTTCGAGCACGAAGACACTTACACGGACCCTCTTGCATGATGGCATATATGTAATTATGGTGTTTATTTACCATTTCTCATGCATTAGGGTTCGAACACTCAGATGTTTATTTGAACTTGGACCCTCTTGCATGATGTCAAATATGTAATTATGGTGTTTACTTACCATTTCTCATTCATTAGGGTTTGAAGACTTGGAGGTATATTCGGACCCACTTGCAAGATGGCAAATACGTAATTATGGCGTTCACTAACCACTTCTCACGCATTAGGGTTCAAACCCTCGAACACTTATTCGGACCCTCTTGCATCATGGCAAATATGCAATTATGGTGTTTTCCTACCATTTCTCATGCATTAGGGTTTGAACACTCGGACACTTATTTGGACCCTCTTGCATGATGTCAAATATGTAATTATGGTGTTTACTTACCATTTCTCATTCATTAGGGTTTGAAGACTTGGAGGTATATTCGGACCCACTTGCAAGATGGCAAATACGTAATTATGGCGTTCACTAACCACTTCTCACGCATTAGGGTTCAAACCCTCGAACACTTATTCGGACCCTCTTGCATCATGGCAAATATGCAATTATGGTGTTTTCCTACCATTTCTCATGCATTAGGGTTTGAACACTCGGACACTTAGTTGGACCCTCTTGCATGATGTCAAATATGTAATTATGGTGTTTACTTACCATTTCTCATGCATTACGGTTGGAACGCACGGGCACTTACTCGGACCCTCTTGCATGATGGCAAATATGTAATTATGGTGTTTACTTACCATTTCTCACGCATTAGGGTTCGAACACTCGGACATTTTTTCGAACCCTCTTACATGATGGCAAATAAGTAATTATTGTGTTTACATACCATTTCTTATGCATTAGGCTTCAAACACTTTGAGATATATTCAGACCCTCTTGCAAGATGTGAAATACGTAATTATGGTGTTTACTAACTATTTCTCAGGCATTAGGGTTTGAAAACTTGAAAACTTATTTGGACTCTCTTGTATGGTGGCAAATATGTAATTATGGTGTTTTCCTACCATTTCTCAAGCATTATGGTTCGAACACGTGGATACTTGTTTGGACCCTCTTGCATGATGTCAAATATGTAATTATGGCGTTTACTTGCCATTTTTCACGCATTAGGTTTCGAGCACGAAGACACTTACACGGACCCTCTTGCATGATGGCATATATGTAATTATGGTGTTTATTTACCATTTCTCATGCATTAGGGTTCGAACACTCAGATGTTTATTTGAACCCTTTTGCATGATGCCAAATAGGTAATTAGCATGTTTACTTACCATTTCTCATGCGTTAGGGTTCAAACACTGGGAGATATATTCAAACCCTCTTCCTAGGTGGCAAATACGTAACTATGGTGTTTACTAACTATTTCTCAGGCATTAGGGTTTGAACACTGGAACACATATTCGGACCCTCTTGCATGATGGCAAATATGTAATTATGGTGTTTACTTACCATTTCTTATGCGTTAGGCTTCGACCACGCAGAGATATATTCAGATCCTCTTGCAAGATGGCAAATACGGAATTATGGTGTTTACTAACAATTTCTACGGCATTACGGTTTGAACACCAGAACACTTATTCGGACCCTCTTGCATGATGGCAAATAGGTAATTATGGTCTTTACTTACCATTTCTCATGCATTAGGTTTCGAACACTTGGAGATATATTTGATCCCTCTTGCAAGATGAAAAATACGTAATTATGGTGTTAACTAACTATTTCTCTGGCATTACGGTTCAAACACTTGAACAATTATTCCGATCGTCTTGCATGATGGCAAATAGGTAATTATGGTGTTTACTTAACATTTCGCATGCATTAGGGTTCGAACACTTGGAGGTATGTTGGGACCCTCTTGTAAGATGGAAATACGTAAATATGGTATTTACTAACCATTTCTCAGGCATTAGGGTTCAAACACTCGAACACTTATTCGGACCCTCTTGCATGATGGCAAATATGTAATTATGGTGTTTACTTACCATTCCTCATGGATAAGTGTTCGAACACTCGGATACTTATTTGGACCCTCTTGCATGATAGCAAATATGTAATTATAGTGTTTACTTACCATTTCTCATGCATTAGGATTCAAACACTCGGACACTTATTCAAACCCTCTTGCGTGATGACAAATATGCGTATATGGTGCTTACTTACCATTTCTCATGCATTATGATTTTAACACTCGGACAATTATTTGAACTCTCTTGCATGATGGGAAATATAGTAATCGTGGTGTTTACTTACCATTTCTGAAGTATTAGGGTTCGAACACGCGGGCACTTATTCGAACCCTCTTGCATGATGGCAAATATGTAATTTTGGTGTTTACTTACCATTTCTCATGCCTTAGGGTTCGAACACTCTGACACTTATTCGAACCCTCTTGCATGATGGCAAATAAGTAATTATGGTGTTTACTAACCATTTCTCTGGCACTAGGGTTCAAACATTCGAACACTTATTCAGACCCTCTTGTGTGATGCCAAATATGTAATTATGGTGTTTTCTTACCATTTCTCATGGATAAGGGTTCAAACACTTCGACACTTCTTTGGACCCTCTTACATGATGTCAACTATGTAATTATGGTGTTTACTTACCATTTCTCATTCATTAGGGTTTGAAGACTTGGAGGTATATTCGGACCCACTTGCAAGATGGCAAATACGTAATTATGGCGTTCACTAACCACTTCTCACGCATTAGGGTTCAAACCCTCGAACACTTATTCGGACCCTCTTGCATGATGGCAAATATGTAATTATGGTGTTTTCCCACCATTTCTCATGCATTAGGGTTCGAACACTCGGACACTTAGTTGGACCCTCTTGCATGATGTCAAATATGTAATTATGGTGTTTACTTACCATTTCTCATGCATTACGTTTGGAACGCACGGGCACTAACTCGGACCCTCTTGCATGATGGCAAATATGTAATTATGGTGTTTACTTACCATTTCTCGCGCATTAGGGTTCGAACACTCGGACATTTATTCGAACCCTCTTACATGATGGCAAATAAGTAATTATTATGTTTACTTACCATTTCTCATGCATTAGGCTTCAAACACTTTGAGATATATTCAGACCCTCTTGCAAGATGTGAAATACGTAATTATGGTGTTTACTAACTATTTCTCAGGCATTAGGGTTTGAAAACTTGAAAACTTATTTGGACCCTCTTGCATGGTGGCAAATATGTAATTATGGTGTTTTCCTACCATTTCTCAAGCATTATGGTTCGAACAGGCAGATACTTGTTTGGACCCTCTTGCA